GGGTCACATGGGCTTGGGAGGAGCCCCTGGCTCCTTTCTTTTACCAATTCCATCTATGTGAAGATAAGTCAAAGGTCCTGCTCAACCATGTCTGGCTTCACCTGGAAGCATGAATGAGAGGTTTCCTCTAGGTTGACCCTCCTCTTTGTAGACTGGACACTGGTTCAAGTCCATCTCATGGTGTCACCATGTCCTCCCTGAACAAGAGGACAGGTGACTCACCACAGTTACAGGACATTTTGAGAGATGTTCCATAGTCCCCTGGAACTTAGTTGACCTTGGAGGGCAGGGGGCAAACACTGTCCTTTAAGTCCTTCTGACCACATTGTATAGGCCTCAAACTATGGCTGTTAAACATCCAGTAAGGTCAGTTCCACCAGTCTGGTACTTTTACTTATCATGTGCTATATAAATAAAGCTTGGGTAAAAAAACAAATATTCTCAGATAAACCTTGACTAGATATATGTTTTGTTTCTTAAACTAGTTGACTAAACTATGACCTTAGAAATTTTTAAGGTTATGTGTATATTGTTTTTGTCTCCCCCTTTATAGATCATAACTAGATTTAGGTTTTTATTACTTTGCTTTTAAATTCTGCAGTTTTCACTGGTACTTTACTCTCATTTTTTATATTGTTTTTGTTTTTCTTGCAATATGCTTGTGGTTGTTGGCCAAGCATTTTTTAATAGCTGCTTACAGTCCTTGTCAGATAAGCTCAACCTTTTCAGCTTCCTGGTACCTGGTGGTCACCTTTCCCACCCGGGCTGACATGTCCATGGTTCATTTATGTGCAGGTAATGGTGGGATGTCTCCTAGAATTTTGAACATTGTGTGCTGGAGCTCTTGTTAAGCCCTGTGGAAAACGCTGGTGTCTGCTCAACAGCACATGGTTTTATTAGGGCTACCCCAGGGGACCCATCTCCAAAGCCGTTGCTCTCCAGAATCTTTGGGCTCCAGGGCTAGCCTGAAGATTGTTCTGGGTCCAGTCCTTAGGATGGACTTGCTCCTGCAGCCTTGTGTTCAGAAACCCCTTTATGGGGCTGCTCTCCTGAGCTTTGCTCTCGGGCCCCTCACTGGTCCTTTAACCATGTATTTGGGGTTCTAGTCATCTGAGTGCCCTGCCCTTTCTCAGTTGGGCCACAGGGGCATCCATCTGGCAAGAGGGCAGAGGCGGGAAAGAGGGCGGCTCACCTTTTTGGAACTGTAGCTGCAAGATGGCATAGCCAAGTTTGGCACTTATGGGCTCCTAGTCACCCCTCTTAGCACCACCAGTAGTGCCCCCAAAAGATACAAAATGCAGTGTCAGCAGCTCTTTCTCAGACTTTGGGGCTGCTCTCTGGGCTCTGGTACTCCAGGCTCTGGCTGCGTTGAGTCAGGCCCTGGAGGCTGACGGTTGGTGTTGAGACAAAACACTGCTGGCTGTGGGCTGCCTCCTGGGTGGCACATCCCAGGGCTCTTGGTCATTGCACCAGTGAGTTATAGCCGCATCTACGGCCAGAACTTCCCTGAGTCAGGCTTCTCTGTGTCCTTGCTTGGCTGCAGTGTTACAGACACACATGTGCACAGATGCACATGTGCCGGGTTTCATTTCTTGTTCCAAGGATTTCATTCTGTGTTTGAGCCATTTTTCTCTTTGCTTTTTTTTTCAGACTGGGTCTCCCTATGTATCTCTGGCTGGCCTGGAACTCTATATACACCAGACTGGCCTGCAGCTCACAGATACCCACCTGCCTCTGCCAGATTAAAAGTGTATCACCATGTCTGCCCTATTTTCCTCCTTAAACACTGCATCTCAAAGCTGGATGCAGTGGTGCATGCCTTTATCCCAGTGCTTGGGAGGCAGAGGCAGCCTGGTCTACATAGTAAGTTCCAGGCTAGTTGGGCTACACCCAGTGCTTGGGAGGCAGAGGCAGCCTGGTCTACATAGTAAGTTCCAGGCCAGTTGGGCTACAGGGAGAGCTCATCTCAAAAGGACCAAAAAGGAAAAAAAAAGTATGAGATAAATAAAAGAAAAATATATATCATGCAAACAGCTGCAAAGAGGAAGCTGGTATACCCATAAGAACCACAGTCAAGATAGGGAGGAATCATAGGAGCCAGGTAAAAAAACCCAAAACAAAACCTGCATCAGTGTCGCGAGCAGGACTAGAGGATATGTGAGTTAAGAGTATCTTAGTCCTTGCTGTCCCCTATAGCAACAGAGTACAAGGAGCCATGGCCAAATAGTTTTAATATTTATTAGCACAGGAATAATGAACACAATATATAATGCAGCCACAAACAAGCCAGTTTGGGTAATCATGAATTTAGCAGTTTAGTTCAATCATAAGCTCTACTGTCTATTGCTATCTCCTGGGGACCTCACCAGTCACAAGTTCCAGCAGTAAGTGTAGCTCGTGGTTGATACAGGTTGATGGTGCGATGCCTCATAGGCCTCTGCGATGGGGAGAGTTCGGAGACCTGACATGGTCCAGCCTGGAGGTGGAGAGAGGATCTGTGGGCAGCACCTCTTCTTGCCTTCGTCAGATGCACTCTGAGGACTGGCCTCTGAGCCTCTGCTTATATTGAGCGTTTGAGGTAGTCTCTTGATAAGCAGCTCTCAAGTAGTTTGATAAGCAAATGTCTGGTTAGTTGATCCCCCGGGAGCTTATCACTAGCTAACATACCTAAGTTTCTATACCTAAGTTCATTTCACAATTCATAACTTCACACATCTCATAATTTCATACAATTTCATTATTCTTATAGATTATTCAGTGATCGCACATTCTAAAGCAATTCCACCTTGTTCATGTACTCTATTACAGAATTTACATTTCTGCTCCTGACGGTCCATCCCCCAGTCCTGAGAGATCATAGAAGGGTCTCAAGGGGCCAAATAATGGTAGTATTATGGTTCCTGACAATCTCTACCACAGTCACTGGAGGTGGGGTGGGGTATGTGTCTCATCTCTTTAAAACAAAATTATTACATTTTAATATATTTTGTGTGTATGTCAGGGGTCAACACACATACTATGGCACGCACATACAGAAGTCAGGACGACTTCCAAGAGTCCATTTCTCCCTGTCATGTGGGTCCAGGGGACTGAACTCAGGTGTTTGGTGGCAGGTGTCTTTACCACTGAGCCATCTTACCATCCCCGTGTGTCACCCCCACCTCTTCACCATCCTCTGCCCTTTTGTGATGGTGGGTGTCCCCTCCACCCACTGCTGCCTTTTCCTCATGACGCGTAAAGTCCGACACATGGGGTGGTGGTCTGTTACTGTTACTCTCCACCGTTCTTTTCTGCATGCTCCCGATTTCTGCCCACTTTTGCTCTATAGTGCATTCTTTCAATTCTAAATCAGATAAACGAGGTCCTTCCCAGGAAGTTGTCCAGATTCTCAAGGGCGTATTTGCACTTGGACTTGGGTTGGTCTCTGTAGCAAGAGGAGCCACTTGTGGGCTCTGAATTCCTAGTTCCAGGCTCATCCTATGTAGGATGATCTATATAGTTCCTTCTGCCATGCTGGGAAGGGAGCCCAAGGCCTAGAGCTTGTGGGCAGGAGCTCTAAGCAGAGCCACAGCCCAGCTGCCACAGCAATTTTGAGATTGCTTCCTCACTCTCTTCCAGGTCTAGTGGCTTTGTGAATTGTCCCCATGGTCCCCGGGCTTCCTGTGGAGTTTAGCTCCTGCCCCCTCCAGTGATTGCTCATACAGACAAATGCTTGCTGCACTTGCCCTCCAGCATCAGCAACACATCACAGACAAGGCCTGGCTTTCCTGCCCCAGTCCCTTGATACAGCCAGCGTGGCTCCCACCCTCAGGACCAGGCCCCTTCTTCCTTGCTGTCTTTGACCTGGAAGGACACTTACCCCATTTACTCAGTACCCTGGATGTTTTCTCCATTCTTTGTGGGAGGGCAGCTTTTAAATGAATTCCCAGGGTAGCAGGCTGTTCACTAGCTCACTGCTCACCTGAGTCACCCTGGAGGCTGATCCTGCCACCATCACACAGGTAACCCAGAATTGGACACAGTAGATGTGAGTTCCCAGGACAGCCTAGAGCTGCCCTTCTGCACCCTGGGTCTCCCCACCCACTCAGGGAGTTTAGGGGTTTTTGGTGGCACTGGGAATTGAACCCAGAGCATACCAGGTAAGCACTCTTACCACTGAGCTCTATATCCCCAACTACCAACCTTGGACTTGTTTTGTAGTCCAGGAAGGCTTTTGACTCCCTGTCCTCCTACCTCAGTCCTGAGGCACTGGGATTACTGGCCCACATCACCACACCCTGTTCAGGAAGCTCTCCTGGGGATGTCTCTGGTAGCCCCCGACACCCCAGGGACCTGCCTCAGGCTGTACTGTGCTAAACTGTGTGTTCCTCTCCTATCTGTAAGTATGCAATACAGCAGCCATGCAGACACCCCTGGGGCCAGAGGGGTGTACTCCAGCCTCCTGTAGGAACCCTGAGGCAGACATCGGGTCTGACAGTAGCCAGCAGTGCCCAGAGCCCTTCCCCACAGACTGAGACTAGATGGCACGTGCTGTTGCCAGCTGTTTATTCAGGCCCTGACCAGGTGATGGGTGCACATGCAGCACACCTGGCCCACCACAGGCCAAACTGCTGTGCACAAACCAAATTACCAGAGGCAGGCGCCCTCAGCAGCCCATGGGCTGTCACCCAGGGCCCCCACAGGACAGCCAAGGGTATGGGTCTTGCTGACTATCCTAGGTACCCAGGCAGAGACCAGCTTGGGGCTATGTGAGCTGCCAGCCCAGTGTAAGAAGGTGAGGAGCAGGGCCTCCAGTGTCCTGTGTACCCCAAGCCGGCCAAGAGGCTGACAAGGGATCTCCGGTGCTGCCCACAGAGCTACCCTAGTGCTGAGCCTGATGGCTGAGTGAGCAGGTTGCGTGCGTGAACGTGTTGGGGTCAGGCTGCCCCTCCTAAGGCATTACTGCTATGAGCTTCTCTGCCCCAGCGAAGGAAAAACACGGGGCATCACTGTCCCCAGTGGATCCCGATGGCTCAAGTCACGGGTGCCCTCAGCGCCTATGGCTGGCAAACCACGAGAAGAAGGGGCGTGGACGAGGGCGTGGGGTCTGGAAGACACGCACGGTGCGTGGTGAGCGCCAGGCTTTGATGGTGGCATCATCGCTGGCCGTCAACAAGAGCTCCTGCTCTTGGGGACTGAAGGCCACCGAGTTGACCACATCCTCGTGCCGCAGCTTGGCCAGGCAGATGTCGTAGTGGCGATCCCAGATGTAGCCGTGCCGATCCTCGGCCCCGCTGTGGGACAGCATCTGGATGAACCTGCGCCCCCTGCTGCAGCCCCCACCCAAGCCCTGGGGCCCACCTGAACCCACACCTGGCCACGAAATCCCTGCTGACATCCAGGAAGATGAAGAAGCACTCGTCGTTGGGCGTGTAGGCGCGGTGTGCTCGCAGCGCTCGCTTCACCTCCCTCATGGTCTTGAGGTCAAACACCAGCAGGTCAATCTCCTCCGCAATGGGTGGCGGCTGCATGGGGTCGGCGACCACCGAGCCAGGGGGCCAGGCACGGCTGTTCACGTACAGGTACCTGTGCAGGGGGCACATGCTAGATACACGCATACTGTCGGTGTAGGACCATCTGTGGGTGCCCTACCCAGCACACTGGGGCCCACCTGTTGTCAGGAGATAGGCCCATGCCAATGATGTGCCCATGCACATCAATGACATGGTCCAGGGCATCAAAGAAGGCATCAGAGCCCCGGCCCTCGCCCAGCACAGGCCCCGCTGTAGTCATCTGGTGCGGCAGGATCTGCTTGATGCCTGCAGGGAGGACAGGGTGAGGGGCCATCCAGAGCCTGCAGGGATGTTACCACCTAGCTCTCCCAGTCCAAGAACATCCCTAGTGGTCCATGAGCACTGCCTACACTTGGATTCCACCTAGTCACTTGCTGAGCCAACACCCTGCCTGCATTTCCACCACTCTGCTACCCAGGACCAAGGCGCCAGGGCCAAGGCTGTACCCCAGGAGCAAATGCACGACCTGTGGACTTTGCCTCTGGACTTCCTGGCCCCTTGGAGGGCCCGAGAAACACCACAATGGGTGCTGACCCTCCCAGGCCCGGCCCTGCCCTGCCATGCCCTGCCGGCCATTACCGATCTGATGTGGCGAGTAGGTGAGGCAGCCAGTGGTGAAGATGAGGTACTTGTTCCTGGCATCAGCGGCACTGCGCTCTGGGGGCTTGGTGCGGCCCTGGGCCAAGAGCTCAGCCACCCTGGTCTCCAGCACACAATCTGACAGCTGTGTATGCCCATCCAACACACTGTCCAGCATGAGCCGCAAACCTTCCTTAGCACGGCCGGGACCAGGGGTGCACAAACTCGAGTCGGTGGCCTCTTCTTCATTGTCCCCACCCAGGTCAAAGACTCGGCAGGGGAGCACAGCCTGGTCACCAGCATCCAGCAGCAGGTCTGGGCTGTCAAAGCGGCTGCAGTCAGCCACCATCACTGTGCGGATGGTGCTGGCATTGAGATTCTGGATCTTAAAGAGCCGCTTCACCACGTTGACATTCTCTGACTCCACATCCTATGTGGGGTACAAGGCAGAGCTCAGAACAGGTGGATGCTAGCCAGAGGGCCAGGCCTGGGGAGCAGCTACCCTGCCCCCGGTTGTCCTCCCATGTCCAGTCGGGGCTACATCTTCCCCTCTCTTTCCTCTGCCCTACCCCACCTGTCTGCCCAGCCTATCCCTGTCCCTGTCCAGACCTGGAAGGCATTGTTGAGCCATAGCACCGAGCAAGAGGTGATATCTCCAATACGATGCAGGTTCCCCGAAATGAGGCTGGTTTCCGTAAGCCAGCAGCCAAACACATCGTAGGGCTTGTTTCGTACTCGGGACAGCAGGGCGAAGGAGTCTGAGGGGAGGCCAGAGCTGGGCAGGCTGCCAGCAGGGCACTCCTGGGCAGCCCAACCCAAGGCCCTCGCTCACCTAGGCTGATGACAGCGATCTCGCCTGATGAGGAATTGTGTGGCCCCAGGAACACCCCTGAGGCCAGCAGCAGTGAATCATCCTGGTTGAACTGGGAGAACTGGGTGTAGCTCCAGTTGTATGGCCTCATATCCGCGCTGTGCAGCAGGGAGATGGTCAGGTCGTTGTTCCAGATCTGTACCAGAGGGGCTGTAGGGTAACTACTTGGACAGCAGAAGTCCTGACCCTTCACTAAGGGTGCAGGAACTCCTGGTCCCTCACTACCCACTCCCACCACAGCCCACCAATGTGGAGAGCTGGCCCTTGGAGCAAAAGGCTAAGGCTATTTTTAGCTTTGGGTCTTGTCTGGGCCAGGCCAGGTCTCCAGGTCCCATCTGGCCCTCTGCTTTTCCCACCTCTCTTCCCAGTGAGTTAGGCTGCACAGGAAGGGCACCCTCACCTTCACTGTGCAGTCCTTGGAGCAGGAGGCAAAATGATACCCCGAGTGGGAGAAACTGAGGTGCAAGACCTGGTCAGTATGTTCCTTCAGTGTCTGCACCTCCACACAGGGCACCATGTCATAAAGTCGTTGGAACTCCTCATACCAGGATGTGGCCGCTGTGGGCAATACAGAGTCACTCCTGGATGCGAGCTTCCCTCACAGTGCAAGGTCAACAGCTGACAGACAGCATGGTGAACAGCTGTACTGTGGTGTCTCTGGAGCCCACCAGTCACCAAGTAGGCCTCAACTAGGGGGTGCACCTTCATGCTCACAGGTCCCTCCCCCAACACGGCCCATGTGTGAGGACCCTGGGGCCATGAAGCAGTTCCTGCCTTCTGTGAGGCTGGCAGGCCCATAGGTGTGTGCAGGTTCTGACCTGGGTGACGCGGCACATCTCTGGCCACCTGGTAGTAGCGGTAGAACTGCTCCCTCCATAAGAATTCGTCTCGGGACACGGCCTGCCATTGGCGGCACACTAGCCCAGCGGCCAGCACATCTGCAGGGCCCAGGCTCAGGAAGATCTGGTAGACAAGGCTGTCCGGGAGCAGGGGCATGCCCCCCTCATCCATCGTGACATTCTGCCCCGGCGGCCCTGAAACCCACCAGTGGCTGCCCTGAGTCCAAGCCTCTTTACCCCCAAACCCCCGGAGGGACTTATGGTCTGGAACTCCAGACATGGCAGTCCTAACTGTTCCTCCAGCCCCAGGTGAGAATCTCGCTGCTCTGAGCATGTGCAGGGCAATGCTGCAGCACTGTCCCACCAAGACCCTGCACTTTCTGAAGTACCTATATGATGAGGTTGCACCACCTCCCGTTCCCCAGGGGCACCATAGGACTTGCTGGAGCAAGTGAGGGGCATGTGGGTACTGCTAGGTCTGGTGTATCCCGAGGAGTGGAAAGTAGCCCCGATCCTCACACCTTCCAGCTGGGTCCCAAGGCCCAAAGCAGGCAAGCAGGGCCAAGTTCTAGCAGTGGTGGACCAGTGGTACCCCACAGCTCCCACCTCTGATCTTGTTGCCCCAAGACTGACAGGGCAGGACAGCCTTCCTTGTAAAAGGAGGCTCCCTCTGGCCAGCGGGCTCTGCCCTGCCGGCCCAGGAAAACCTGGCCAGGCAGGTGATGGCAGTGGTGGGGGTTCCGAATGTCAGCGCACATAGCAGGGACCAAACCCTGCAGGGCCAGACTGGGCGGCAGACTGTTCATTACCTACTGAACACTACCGGGTGGACACCACTGACCACAGTCGGCCGAGGCCATCACCTACTGAACAGGTAGACATGGCTGGATATGGCGGGCCAAGGCCATCACCTGCTGAACACTCCTGGGTGGACTCAGCTGGACATAGCCGGCCAAGGCCATCACCAGCCAGATAAGGCCAGGGACGACTCAAGTGTGAACATGACAGGAAAAAGCTGGTGACAGTGGACAAGGCTGGTGAAGATGGAAAAGACGAGCGGCGGGGGCAGAGGCCGGAGAAGAGGAGGGACCAGGCAGCGCCGGACACAAGGCCCGGACGAGCAGGGCCGGCGGACACCGGCGAAGGCCGGCGATGGGGCCCGGGACACTGGAGCGGAACGGGTTGGTGGCGGCAGGGCCCAGACGCAATGGGCCCGAGGCCGGTGACTCGGGCGAGCGCTGCGGGGCCGAAGCCGAACTCACCGCGGCGCCTCCGCCCTCTGCGCTGCGCCCCCGCTTCCGCCGCCGCCGCCGCCGCTCCCGCAGGCGTCCGAAGCCGACCTAGGCTCGACGCCACGAGCCCCGAGGCATCGATAGCGAGCGCCCGCAGCGCGAGTCGGGCTCTCCTGCGCCTGCGCCTCAGCCTCGGGCTACCGGCCTGCGTATCTTCATGCGCCTGCGCGCGCTCCAGCGCTCCCCGAATAGTGCTCCCGGCGACCGGAAGGGCGGCAGTAGTGAGCCAGGCGCAGGGGTGGCAGGTTCGAGGCTTGGCCCCGGCCCTTTCGGCTGCTGGGCCTTGAGCAAGTGGCTTTACGGACCTATGGTGGGTGGCTGTGGGGACAAGATCAGCTGTTGGTGTGCAAAGGGTCGAGCACTGGCTCCAAGTGGAAATCAGGGTACTCTGGTCAGCTCAGACTGTACTTGAGGCATGGTGCCAAGCTCTTGTCACGGCCAGGCTGGACCCTGGCCCAGGGTGGGGATTGAGGAAGCAGGGGACAGATGTAGATTTTTTGGACTGTACTTCCGGTGGCACTGGACAGTGGACTCTGACCTGGGACAGTGCAGCTCTCAGCCTCACTGTCCTGTCACGAACTGTCCCTGACACCCCGGCCATGCTGTCTCCCGGGGCTGTGTTCTTCTTCACCCTGCTCCTGGCAGCGGGTTCGCTGGGCCAGAGGGCTCGAAAGCCCCCAAGGCCTCCATCCCCCATCAGCACAATCCAGGCCCAGGCCAGTTTCAGTGCTCAGCAGGTAAAAGCTGGGGGTAATGGGGATAAGAAAAGGAGGCGTAAGAGTCTGCCTAGCTTAGCAAGAATAGCCCAGGCTGCCCCATTCCCTCATTCCTGAGCCCTCCCGGTTTACCTCAAGTTTGCAGGGACATGGTTCCTTGTGGCTGTGGGCTCTGCCTGCCACTTCCTGCAGGAACATGGCTACCAGGCTGAGGCCACTGCATTGCACACAGCTCCCCAGGGTGCAGCCATGGCTGTCAGCACCTTCCGCAAGCTGTGAGTCCCCGTGCACCCTCATTCCAGCCTGACTCCACCCTACCCTGTCCTCCTGACCTAAGCTCGACCCCAGCTCCTAGCCCTTCCGTGGCCAGGGTGGGATCTCCTACATGGCCCCACCTTGGTTGGGGTCCCCAGAACCTGGATGCCTCCACCCGTACCTCATCTCCCCCTTCCGCAGAGATGGGATCTGCTGGCAGGTGCGCCAGCTCTTTGGAGACACAGGGGTCCCTGGCCGCTTCTTACTGCAAGGTGAGATGAGGGCACCAAGGAGTGAGGGGTACAGGGCTGGAGGGAGGAAGTGAGGAAGGGACCGATGTGCTGCCACAATGGTTCTGCCTTAGCCCAAGGGACTAGTGGGCCCGTTCAAGTGGTTGTTGCTGAGACTGACTACCAGAATTTCGCCATCCTGTATCTGGAGCGGGCACGGAAGCTGTCTGTGAAGCTATATGGTGCGTGGTAGCCCTGGATCCACACGGGCTTGAGCTTTGCATCCTGGAGGAGCCATCCTGGTTGGCTGGGTGACTCCAGAAGGACACACAGACTCTCCCCATACCCTCCTGTCTGGCAGGTGTCAGTAGCAGGCACATGGGCTGGTATAGGGGCTAGGTGGGGTCAGGACAGATAGCTGACCAAGCTGTGTCCCGGGAACCCTGTCTATCCCACAGCTCGCTCACTGCCTGTGAGTAATTCTGCCCTGAGTGTGTTTGAGCAGCGAGTCAGGGGGGCCAACCTGACAGAGGACCAAGTCTTCTTCTTCCCCAAGTATGGTAAGTATTCCAAGCCCCGCCCCCTCCTGGCTGATGTCCCGCCCTCCTTGACTTCTGGCTGGGCCCCCAGGTTTCTGCAAGACTGCGGACCAGTTTCACATCCTGGATGGTGAGTGGGCAACAGAGGTGGGCAGTACTGGCTGAGGTGAGTCTTACCTGCCCCTGCTGAGGCTTATGTCTACTACAGAGGTACGGAGACGAGGCTAGCGTGTAGGAGAAGCTGTCGACAGTGGACTACCCTCCTCAGAGAATTCCGAGCATCCTGAGTATGCCGCCCGAGTCTCTCCTGTCTGCCCCCGGAAGTACCCCATCACACAGCTTTGTTGTCTTGGGGCTCCTCAGTAAACATCAGACTTGTTCCTGGGTCCTTTCTGTCAACCTGGACAGGCGCTCCACCTGCTAGGATAGGAAGGGAAGGCACCGTCCTAAGGAGGTGGGGCTAGAAACAGCTCTCCTGCCTAGAAGCACGGAGTCCCTGCTCTCTCCCTGAGCCTCAGTTCCCCTCTGCAGTGGAGTCTTACTCTCGGGTATGTTCCTTTCCTTACTCCCCACCCCAGCTTACTAGGCTGTCTCGGTGCCCACAGAGGGCCCCAGAGCCCCGCTCAGGGTGGCCTTCTCTGGAGAGGAGCACAGGCTTGCCAACACGCCCTCCTGGCCCTTGACCCTGGAGGCTAAAGAGAGGCCCAGAGGCATCTGCTAGGGAGGTACAGGGTTGGGGTTGAGGGAACATTTGGAGCACAGAGGGTGAAAACTTGTATCCCAGCTGGGGGAAACAAAGCCTATTTTATGGACCAGGTAGGGATGAGCATGGGGCTCTGGACACATGGGAAGGACCCCTGATATAGATTGGACTATCCCCCAGCAACTCCTATTCAAGCTCCAGCCAAGGTCACCAGCCACAAAGAAGGACCAGGAAGCAAGGTGTGAGTACCCTCACAAGAGAGGAGGTTGCCTTTTCCCCAGGAACAGGCAACCCCTTCTGCAGTCCTAGGATGGTCTACTGGGTTCTGGGGGCCAGGGCTAGGGTTTGGGGAACTGGGTATCATCTCAGACACAGCTGGGCTTAGATCTCCTGACCCAGACATTGTTGATGGTCTGTAGACTCCCAGCACTCATAGGATAAGCATTTCTCAAGTGCCCACAAGTGCTCCAGGCCCTGGGAACACAAAGTAGTTGAATCTTTGCCCCTGGGGGCTTAAAGTCCAGGCTCAACCATCTACTGATGATAAGGCAGGGGTGGGCTGGCCCCTTGGAATTGGTCCCCCCCCCCCCCCCCCGCAGTCTTAACTGCCCCAGGGCACCTCAGTGAGCAGCAAGCTGTGGTCCCTAGAGCAGAGGGTCTGGAGGACAGAGGGCCACAGGGTTTGGTGTAGATTGCTGCTGGGTCAGACCACTGCTGCCCTGGAGGAGGCTCTGACCATCCATGGTCTCTGGACAGCTGGATTCTGGGAGGGGAGGAAGTCAAGTGAAGGGAAAGTGGATGGCTAGGGGCCTTGGAAGGAGGTGCAGAAGACCCTCCTACTCTCCCCCAAAATAAAGTGTACAGGAATACCCAAGTTTTGTGGGGCCTGGCCTCAGCCTCACTGCCCTGACCCCAGGAGCACCTTCTCCTTCCTTCCCCAAACACAAAGTGAGGTCTTGCTCCGGCAGGGGCACGACTCCCGTGGCTGAGACCTAACCCTCTGAAGCGCTGCCTTGTGAATCTGGATGGGCTGAGCATGGACAGCACGGCCTCTGGGTAAAAAGTTGGTGGAGAACGAGCGAATGGATGATGAGGCACCGAGGCACAGCCAAAACTCCATCAAAATAGGGTTTATTAGCAAAGGAACACATGGGGCAGATTCCCTTTCGGGCAGGGAAAATGTCTGCCTGGGTCTTGAGCTGGGTGGGGTCTTTTAAAAGGGAGGCTTCTGCTTCCTGCAGAAGGCGGGAAGATGTATTTTTTTTAAAGTTGGGTAGTTCGGGGAGTGGGAGAGCAGGACTTAAAACCTGTCCTCTTTAGAGATCAAAGGGGAAGCCTGCTGTGTTGGCCAAACAGTGGAGAAAAGTCTGTTTCTCTTGACTTCAAAGACCAAGGTGCGTCAGCTAGGTTCCCTTTTCTCAGGGGGGTGAGAAGCCCTTGGGATCCTGTTGGTGAGAGGGCAGGGCTATCTGAACCTTAACAGGTCCCACATGGATTCAAGTAGCTAGAGCTCTGGAATTGACACATAAAAGTGCTTTTTAATCCCAGCACTCAGGAGGCAGAGACAGGTGGATCTCTGTGAGTTCCAGGCCAGCCTGGTCCTCCATAGTGAATCCAGGCCAGCTAGGGCTACAGGGAGACCCTGTTTCAAAAAGCCCAAAAAGAAAAAAAAAAAAAAAAATGCCGGGCATGGTGGCACATGCCTTTAATCCCAGCACTCGGGAGGCAGACATCCCAGCACTCGGGAGGCAGAGGCAGGAGGATCTCTTGGGAGTTCGAGGCCAGCCTGGTCTACATAGTGAGTTCCAGGACAGCTGGGGCTACAGGGAGACCCTGTCTCAAAAAAAGATAAAAAACAAAAAAACCTTCAGTTACATTTGAAAATCCTAGGAAAAATAATGATAGGTCTTATGTGCATTTTTATTGTTATTGTGTGTGTGTATGCTTGGCGAGGTGTTTGTGGTGGTCAGAGGACAACTCAGGAGTCAGTTCTCACCTTCCTCCTTTGCATAGATTTGGGGGATTGAACACAGGTCATCATGTTTGGCATCTTTACCTACTGAGTCATCTCACTGGTCTATGAGTATTTTTTTAATGTTAAAATATTTCTTATAGGGGCTGGAGAGATGCTTAGTGGGTAAAAGCACTGGGTATAAGCTTGGACCCCCAACACTCATGTAAAATGCTGTGTGGCCACTCCCACCTGTAACCCCAGTACTAAGGGGCAGGGGCAGAGACAAAGGGCACTGAGGTTTGCTGTCTGCCAGTCTAGCTCCACGGTCAGTGAGAGACCCTGTCTCAAGGGAATCAGGCAGAAAGTGATGGGGCAGAACACTGGACATGCTTCTGCCTCTTCATGATTGTGGCCCCCCAGTATACACATGTGCATATACCACACAAACACAACTATTTCCTACGGTGTGAATATTGCTTTCTAATTCTAGTAGGTGATTTGTAATATCTTAGAAAAAGAACTTTTTAAAAAATATTGTTTTCAAAGCCAGGTGTGGTGGTGCACGCCTTTAATCCCAGCACTTGGGAGGCAGAGGCAGGCAGATCTTTGTGAGTTCGAGGCCGGCCTGATCTACATAGTGAGTTCCAGGACAGCTGGGGCTACAGGGAGACCCTGTCTCAAAAAGACCAAAAAAAATTATTTTCATTTTATGTGTATGAGTGTATTGTCAGCATGTATGTAAGTGTACCCGTGTCATGCATGCAGTGCCCACAGAGACCAGGAGAGGGCGTTGGATCCTCTGGAACTGAAGTTACAGACAGTTGTTAGCTGCTGTGTGGGTGCTGGGGATCAAACCCAGGTCCTCTGAAAGAGCAGCCAGTGTTCTTAACTGCTGAGCCATCTCTCCAGCCCCAAAATAGAACTTTAAAAAATATTTTATTATTTTTATTTTATGTGTACACTTTCATGTGTGTAAATGCATCTGTGTCATGCCATGCTCACAGAAGTCCGAAGAGAGCATCAGATCTCCCGGAACTGAAGTTACAGATGGTTGTTAGATGCCATGTGGGTGCTGGAAACTTAACCTGGGTCTTCTGCAAGAGCAGCCAGTACTCAACTGCTGAGCCATCCCTCCAGCACCCCCAAAAAGAACTTTTAAAATATGTAGAAGCTGGGACCTGGAGAGATGGCTCAGCCGTTAAGAACACTGGTTGTTCTTGCAGAAGACCTGGGTTCGAATACCAGCACCCACATGGCAGCTAACAACTGTCCGTAACTCCAGTCCCAGGGGATCTGACAGTCTCTTCTGACCTCTGAGGGCATTGCACAACACGGGTGCACTTACCTACATGCAGGCAGTACACACATACACACAAAATAATAAATAAAAATGTAAAAATCTTTTCTCGGACTGGGAGTAATGGCCCACACCTTTAATCCCAGCACTGGGGAGGCAGAGCAGGTAGATCTATGAGTTCAATGTGTATGTGTGTCTGTGTGTGTGTCTGTGTATGTGTGTGTGTCTGTGTGTGTGTATGTGTATCTGTCTGTGTGTCTGTGTGTATGTGTGTCTGTGTATGTGTGTCTGTCTGTGTGTGTGTATGTGTATGTGTCTGTGTGTCTGTGTGTGTTGCGTGTGTGTATGTGTGTATGTGTGCCTGTGTCTGTCTGTCTGTGTGTGTGTCTGTGTGTGTGCGTGTGTGTGTATGTGTGTGTGTGTGTCTGTGTCTGTGTGTGTGTGTGTCTGTGTGTGTGTGTGTGTAGAAGCCAACACCTAACTGGCCATCTTGCGTGAGACCACAGGATTAGAGGAGCTGACCCATAGGGGCCTGGAGCCAGAGATCTGTTCCGGGGACCCACGGGATCATGAGGGTCAGTGTCCCTTCCCCAGGACCAAGCAGTGGTACACCTGCCCTCCCTGTCTACACCAGTCTCTATGGATAGGCAGCCCCTGCATGTGAAAACAGCTTACAGCCTCCCTGGTGGCCTCCTCCTACCCAGGACAATAAGCTGGGGAAGAATTCTGGAGTAGGGAAGTGAGCAGAGGTCAGCATTCAGGAGTCTTCCAGGAGGGAGGAGACGGCACGTGATGGAGGCAGTTTGCCCTCACTGTCCTGTTTTGGAAGGGATGAAGGTTGGTGAGGAAGACAAAGGGGACAGGGATCAGACAGAAGGGGAAAGGAGGGAGGGTCCTGGACAGGGAGGAGGCAGAACCACGCTCTCGGTGGCAAGAGGCAGGTGGGATGCAGAGGTGAGGCGGCTGTCTTCTCCACCTGGGCCAGTTGCCTTTCCAAGCTTTGCCAGGGATCTGTCTTCCCCACATCTTGGCCCTGGTCAGCTTCAGGACACACAGGACCCCAGACCAACCCCAGTTCTGGGATGGCAGGCCTGTTCAGTTGCTGTGTGGCCAGCAAATATCAGGAAATAATTGTGGATGCTGGGCTTTGTGTGGGTCTCCTGCCACCGTCTACCAATCACATCAAGGATGGGAGGAGCCACCCTGCAGCTGCCCAGCCTCTAGCTCCACAGCAGCCTCCAAGCCCTGGGTGGGGTCATGGTCCGTGCACTCCTTAGGACCAATGTGGAAGATAAAAGTCCATTTGTGTACATTCAGCGAGCCTGGGAAGGTCCCTGTCTACTGAGGGGCCTGCGAGGGCCTGGCTGTCTTGGCCCTGCCTTGCAGATATGACAGTGTAGAAAGCAGGTGAAGAGGCTCTGAACCTCCTTCTGGAAGCTCAGGCAGTAATGGCCAGTTGCCTGTGTGTAGCCACGCCCCTCGTCCCTTTAGGATAATGGTGCTCTGCTTAGAGTTAACACTTCTGGCTTTGTTGATACAAAGGTTGAGGTGGAGGTAATCTGCTCCCAGGGTGCTGGTGGGGAAGATCAATAAGGCATGTGCTTCTGGAACCCCGGAAACAGGTCGTGCCCCTCCCCTGTTTGTGTATGCATCAAAAAAGGTCTGTTACCGGGCCAGATGCCACAGTCTGTAATGATGGGACAATTCCTGTGTCTTGCACTGCTTAAACACTTAACATATATAAACTCTGTGTGAACTTCATATACTGAGCTTCCAAAAAAAGGCTTTCAGGAGGGCAGTGAGAGGACTTCTGAACAGCAAAGTGGGGAAACAGGATGAGAGGGCACGGACAGGACTGGGCAAGACTAATCTCAGTTTCTTGGCATCGAGCAGAGCGTGAACTAGGCTGACTAGAGCAATCAGGGTCCTGTTCCCATAGGACCCTGCTCCCATAAGAATCCACTTCTGTAGAGTCTGATCCTATAGGGATCCCACTCCCATAGGACCTTGCTTCAATAGCACTTTACTCCTATAGGCTCCTAAAGGTTCTGTGCCCAGGCCCTGTTGTTCCTTCTGGGTATCAGGTCCTTTTGAAATACCCAGCAGTCCTCACCTGGCCCTGGTGCTCCTGAGCCCTCTCCTTCTGCAACCAGCTTTGCACTCTCCTGACCCTGGACAGTCAGTATTGACTCCCATACTGGTTCTAACACATAGGGAGCCATGGAGCTGCCTGGGGGCAGATAACAAGCTGTGGAGTTTAGGGACAGTCAGGATCCCTGCCTGGGACAGGTTGTTCTTTGATATGAAGGGCCAATAGAGCAGATGCGACAGGGGGGGTCTGACTCCCTCATGTAGACACTTAGAGCAGGTGCTCAGAGGTACAAGATGGCCCCAGCTGGGCCCAGCAGGCTTTCCCTTTTTTGGCTAGAACCCAAGAGACCCTGTCCTGCCTCCCTCCACACCTTCCTGTCTTGCCACATTCCCTAGGGAGGGGCACTGGCCAGTAGGCTGTGAAGAAGCAGGTTTCTGATCTGGCATTGCCAACAGCAAAGGCAGGCTCTGTTCCTCTGGGACCTGGTAGCTGCTGGCATGGGCCTTCGGTGGGCTCTTTGGCTGACTTTGACCTTGCCTAAAATCCTGGAGGGGGAGACCCCAACCCCAACCATGCAACCAGGCTTTCCTCAGTTGACAAGCTTCCAAAGTGACCAGGTACAGGGTTTCCAGCGGAGGAGAAGAATTAAGCTGGCCAGGCTTTCAGAGGGAGGGTGCATACAGGCCTGTGGGCACTTCTCAGGGAGGCCAGGGAGGCCCTCATCTGACCAGAGCTTTGTCCTGTTCTCAGGGCCCCTGAGTGAGCCCCTGTCCTGCAATAGAAAGGGATCCTCAGTCTTCTGTTCCTCCCGTATCCCTACCAAATCACTCCCTCTTTAAAGGTAGATAAACTGAGGCTTGGGAAAGTCACCTGGCTACTGACCCGGGGCCACTCTGTGCTTGCCAGACAAAAGGAAGGGCCCTGCCAGCATCACTGACACAGCCTAGCCTGGGGTTACCAACTGGGGAAGTGTCCTAGTTGGCTATGGGCTGCTGAGGGTGGAGTGGCAAGGGGTTGGCCATGCCCACCACCAGCCATGTAGTTCCAGGGGGAGTGGTTCGTCCTTGGCTTGGCAGGCAACATCTATAAGAAGATGGACAGGGTCTTGCTGAATCCTTTCATCTCATTGTTTGAGCTAAAAAACAACAGCCACATTCAGGTGACCAACTCCATGACTCGGTGAGTAGTGTGTCTCTGTGTTCAAGCTGTCGAGGATCCAGGGCTGTATCCCAGGAGCCTTGCATGGCCCAGCCACATTATGGGCTGAGGAACCATGTCCAGAGGCTCTGTCTAGCACAGACTGTTTAATGATCATTGCCGAAGCCTATCGCAGCTGGTGGACTATAAGCAAGAGGCGAGGCATTGGTGGCTCAGTCTGGAGGTGGAAGGCTGGTGGGTTTCAGGGACCTCCACACCCAGAGGCTTGAACCCGGTGGTCAGGGCCCTGTCTCCTTGTCTTTGTCTTGCTTCTGCCTGTCCCGACCTGATCTTTGTTGGGCAGGCTCTTGTTTCACAATGTTAACAGTGGCAGACAGCCATAAGCCGAAGTCTGCCCTTGTCCCTTTCTGGGGTTTGCTGGCTCATGCCCCAGAGAGGAGGCTGGCTGCTGTCACCTAGAATCACCTTTATTTATTTATTTATTTATTTATTTATTTATTTATTTATTTTTACTTTTATCTATTTTTTGGTCTTTTTGAGGTAGGGTCTCCCTGTAGCCACCAGCTATGGAGACCAGGCTGGCCTCGAACTCACAATCTGCCTGCCTCTGCCTCCCAAGTGCTGAGATTAAAGATGTGTGCCACCATGTGAAGGGACTATGAAATAGTGTTCCTATGACTTTAAAAATATGTTTGCTGGCTGGAGAGATGGCTCAGCGGTTAAGAGCACTGACTGCTCTTGCAGAGGACCCGGGTTTGATTCCCAACACCCACATGGCGGCTGTGAACCGTCCTTAATTCCAGTTCCAGGGGAATCCGAAGCCCTCTTCTGACCTCTGTTGCATTGCACGATACAGGTGCGCTCACATACATGCAGGCAATACATTCATACACATAAAATAAAAAAATATTTTTTAAAAATATGCTTGGTGAATTAAGCTGAACTTTGAACATGTATGTCTGGAGAACCTTGTGTCTCATGAGAAAGTCTATGCAAGAATGCTTGCTGGGGAGAGATCTCCAGAGTGCCGGCTCTCCCCTCTAGTTTCTCATGAAACACGTTGACCTTCTAAGTAGACATACCTTGGAGATAATGTTGTTCTCATGAGTATGAGAAGCCATTTTATTATTGTTCAGTTCTGTAGACGTGTGACTGTGATTCTCACAAGTATAAGAATAAAGACTGAACTGCTGGTACGATCAGCACTCAGGTGCATGGAAGCCTGGGTCCCTGGTTTATTTTCAGTTCTGTGGGTCCCATGGCTGCCCCTGGTGGCCACAGCCATCACCTTCTTTCTGCCATGGCACATCTGTGTGGATTTGAGGTCCTGTGCTAGGCCGAATAGGAGCCACCTATATGGCTCTGTGCCTAGGAAGGGCCCAGAGCAGCTGGAAGGGCCCCAGGGCTAAGGCTCGGGAAGGAGGTAGAATCTCCAGTCCTCTGTGTCCTTCTGGGCTACAGGCTCCAAAAATGAATGTCTGAATTTTCTGTGGTCCACATGGGTGGGGCCGGCTGACTTCCCTTTCCTGAACACTCTGCTTCTGCCCATCCACTCCCACAGGGGTAAGCACTGCGACGCTTGGTCTTACATGCTGATCCCAGCGACCAAGCCTGGGCAGTTTACCGTGGACATCAAAGGTGAGAGAGACAGGGGTGGAAGGGCCACAGCTACTTGAGGAACCTAATGTGTGTGTCCATCAGGGTCACGGCCTGGGGCAGACAGTGAGGAGGTGCAGGTGATAGAGACAGACTATACCAAGTTCGCCCTGATGCTGTCCAGCAGACAAACCAGCAGCCAGACCATCATCAGGGTCAGTCTTCTGGGTAAGACTCCACGTCCCTGGGCCCTACGTGGGTCCCTGGTGGGAGCAGTCCTTTCAGGGTTTGGACGCCTCACCACCTCCAAGTGCTGAGAGCCACACTGTATTCCTCTGGCCACAGGCCGAAAATGGAGACTGCCTTACAAGACAATCAATAAGTTCGTCTGCCTGACCAGAGCGCAAAACCTCACGAAGAACAACTTCGTGTTCCCTGATGTAACCGGTAATGGGCACCATGGCTCCTCGGGCACCATGTGTGGGGTCTTGCAGTCAGAGGGGCTAAACCCAAGTGCCTGTTCACAGAGCTAGAAGGGAGGGGCTGGTAGCTCCTGTTCTCACCCAAGTCCCAGGCTACTTCCTTCCAACCTGGGTCCAGGATCCAGGCCACCCCGTCCCCGTGCTGGGTTTTCTGATCCTGGGACTCTCCACTCTGATACCCTGTTCGCTGGGGACTGGAGCTCATCCGGTCCCTGGCAGGAGAGTCCTTGAGAACCCAGGGCCAAGGGGCTTCAGGGCTGAGCCCTGTCCTCAGTCTCACTCCCCTCCTCCCCCCAAACTTCCTCCTCCTTCAGGAGCCTTTCCCGTCATGCCCCTCCAATACCTACCTCAGGTACTACACACCTGCCCAGCCACATGCATACACGTAGTGTGTGCCCACAAACATGCAGACAGGCATATGCTCACACACGTGCTCACCTTGCACATTTTTTTTTTACTTTGAGATAGGGTCTTACTGTGTAGCACTGGGACTCAAGATTCTCCTGCTTTAGCCTCCTGGGTGCTGGTATTTCAGGCCTGCATCACTGTGCCTGACTCACAACATACAACACAGAATAACATGCATGTCTGCACTAACCTTCACACTCACTCTACCAGGCCACCAGATCTGCCACAGGTCTGGGAGCCTGTGGGACAGGCAGGGGTTGTGCAGGGCTTCTGGAAGAGTCCAGGCTGATGACAGCTGCACCCAGGAGTCCCCCAGACCCTTCCTGGAGCCACTGGTTTCTTCTCCCTCCCTCTTCCTCCTGCTCTACCTCCAAGCTGCCTGCCTACCCCTGCACTTGCCCCTCCTGAGCCCCTCCCCAGCTCTGTCCCTCTGCTTCTCTTCCTTACCCTCCACCCCAATTGTGTCCCCCACCCCATTAGATTGGTTAACTGATCCCAGCGTCTGCTGAAAGGATGAAGTGGCTCCTGCCAGCCCAGCCCCACACCACCTCTGCTCTCAACACAAATAAACATACTGTCTGGGACCCTTGAGTATGACACTGTGGCCTTGGTGTGGGTAAGAGGCTCTTCCTCTGAGCACCCCCAACCTGGCCTCTCAACCCCAGACTCTATTGCTCCCCTGACCCCCAGGCTATGTGAGGTAATGGGTCATAGCTGTACCTGACAGAGCTCTGGAGCTGCCGTGGTGGGGTATTGCTGGGCTAAGGCCCCTGGTGCACCAGGTCCCATACAGCAGGCAGGAACAGCCAGGGCCTAGAGCGGAAGGATGTGGACACCTTAGGCTGGGAAAGGAGACAAGGGCACTTCCTCCTCCTATGAGATGTGGGACAAGGAGCTCAAGACCACACCTTCATTCTAGAGAAACTATTCAGAAATGGAGAGGTACAGAAAGTCCAAAGCCATGGGCCTAGAACCTGAGCACCATTCCCAAACATACGTACCTGTGAGGAGTTCTCGGCACACCAGTGGTCATCCTACCCAGCCTACAAGAGCAGCCCTCCCAAGTCTTCATCTTTGTAAGCTCCACTATGCGCTGTGGAGGCAAAGCAAGTCATGACCCATCAGGATGCCTGGAGATAGCCCCATAGCCTCTGGCCTTGCCAGAGAGCAAATAGCATGCATAGATAGCCCACTAGATTTAGGCTTTACCCTCCTAGAGTACTTTATGGCCCATGAGTGGGGGATGTTTAGAATTCCCTTCCCCTAGGCAGTGGTGTATGGCCTCAGGTACATTTCCTGTTGGGCAGGTTGTACAGAAACCAAGCACATTCTGACCCAAAGCCTTCCCTGATGACCCCATTAAGACCAGCTCCTGTGCTAGTCTCAGGCAACACTGTGTGGAGACTTGTAGCTCAGTTCAGCATCCTGTTGTATATCTGACCTCCAGTAGAAACTCCACAAGGGAAACAAGATCACTTTTATCCTTAACTGTACCCCAGGTTACAAGATGGCCCCTGTCACAGAGAAGGTGGCAAAACCTGTCTTGCTGGACAGTTGGATTGATAGGTGGGCTGACTGGAAGCTGTGTGGGTAGATGGGCGGGGTAGATGATGGAGGGTGGGCGAATGGATAGGTGTGTGAATGGATGAACTGGCATCTCGGACCGGATAAAAAGGAGAATGTGAGCTGAAGTCAGCAATCATCGCTCTCTGCTTCCTGGCTGTGGCTGCCATGTGACCAGCTGCCTCCGGCTTCAGCCACGGCTTCTTCCTCCAAGATGGACTGCGAGCCGAAACAAGCTCTTCCTGTCTTAAGTTGCTTCTTGTCAAGTATTTTGTCACAGCAATGAAAAAAGTGATAATACAGGCCCCAAACACCAGAGCCTTTTGTGTTTCAATCCAGGCCTCCTTGCAGGGCAGGGAGTGTGGCCACCACACAACAGCAGTTGACCTAAGAGCCACCCCGTGCCCATGCCAGCTGTTTCCAGCCTAGCCTTGGGTTCGAGAGCCTGACCTCACTGGGCGATAGTGGCACAAGGCAGTGAGTCCAGACCTCTGAGAACAGCTTGGACTCTGTCCTAATCCCAGGACTGTCCCCAGGGCACATGGCTGCCAGGAGACAAGATGCAAAAGGACAAGGTTGTGTCTGGGAGGCCAAGCCGGCCAACCTGTGGCCCAGAAGTTCTCCATGGCCCCCGACTAGACCATCCAATTAAGGTAGGAGAGGCAGCCCTGAGCACCAGGGCCCAGGTTGCAGGGTCTCTGAACTCCTTGCCATCTGTATGGGTCTGAGCTTCTGGGACTTGGCCAGAGACGTTGGAGAGAAGCTGGGGCTGCCGGAGACAGCAGAAACAGTCAGGGCTGTTGACGGGGAAGAAACTCTGATGGGTAGGAAACATGGGCTCAGGCAACCATGGGGCTGGCTTGTTGGGGAAGGAGAGGCCAGGGCACATGTAAACGTCACATATCACTTCCCAAATAAGGTGGCAGAGTCACCACCTGTGTGTTGGTTACTTTTCTGTTAATGGAAACACCATGACCAAAGGAACTTATTTATTTACTTTTGGTCTTTTTGAGACAGGGTCTCCTTTAGCCCCAGCTGTCCTGGAGCTCACTATGTAGACCAGGCTGGCCTTGAACTCACAGAGATCCAGCTGCCTTTGTCTCCCAAGTGCTGGGACTAAAGGTATGTGCCACCTCACGCGGCTGACCAGGGAACTTATAAAAGGAAGAGTTTATTTAGCTTATGGTTCCAAAGGGCAAGCGTCCATCATGGTGGGGAGGCATGGCGGCAGAGGGGGCCGGTGGTGGAGAGGCATGGCGGCAGAGGGGGCTGGCGTAGGAGCGGAAGATGAGTGCTCACATTTTCAGAGGTGGCTGGAGGTCGGCAAGGTTTAAGGCCCTCAGTGACGTGCTTCCTCCAGTATGGCCACACCTTCTAAGACCTCCCAAAATAGCACCACTAACTGGGGACAAAATGTCCAAATACTTGGAGCCTATGGGGGACATTCCCCTTCAAACTACCACAACCTCTATGCAGTCCTGTACACACACAAGTGTGTGAAGCACGTGTATACACACACAAACATGCAAGCATACACAAAAGTGTGCAGTGTTTAATGTACATACCCCCACATGTATGCAATACACATGAATACACACGATTACTATGCATACATATACACACATGTAATGCACATGCATACAGGCATGAATACACGTGTATAATACACACAAATGTACAAATGTATACATACATCGATGCGTATACCCAGGTGTGTGGTACATACATATACATGAACATGTGCACACATACAAATGTGCAATGCATATACCTATACACATGAACACACTGCATGCATATGCACAAGGGGGCAGTGTACATACACGCATACTCACATGCATATATATACACATGCAAACTGACACATGACAAGAACATGCACATATAAAGTGGGGATTAGCTGGTCCATGACAGGGGGTCCTGAATGGGTAGAGCCATGGGGTCCAAGTCTGGTCCAGAAGTGGGAGGGGCTCAGCCCTCCAAGGCACCAGGGGTGAGTGACTTCCTGGGTGTTCCTGGATGTCCACTTCAGTGTCTGACCAGGAAACCATGTCAAAAGCTGGTGGAGGACTCACCAAAGCTGCCCTGCCACCCCAGTCCTTGGGCTGCCCATAGCTCTTGCGTTGGCAAGGTCAAGCTAGGGGTCACTTTAGCGAGCGAACAGAATCCCAGCAGGACCACAGCTGCCTTTTCCACCACAGACTCCACTCCGAGCTGAGAGAAGCTGAGAGGTGGTAACACAGCTGTCCCGACCTCAGGCAGCTGCAGGGGGCAAGGCGAGTGATTTCATTTGTAGTTTCCAAACTCCCCTGCAGTGACAGAAAAGGATAGGTGGCTGACCAAAGCACAGAAGGTGATGGAACATTCTAGACCCCGGCTGGGGTTGCGTTTACACAGGTGCCATCACTCACCGAGGTTACAGTTCCCTTCTTTTTAATCTCGAGGCAGGAACTCCTGAGTGGAGCTAAGACAGAACTGGAAAGTACCCATAGCCACAGACTCCATCAAAATGGGAAGAAAATGGTTTCTGATGCTCTGACGTTCAAGAGATTATGGAGCAGAGAGGAGACCCAGCCTGGGGTTCCGGGACACAGTGCACAGACCTGCACCCTGAGTCTCGTGGGGAAGTGATGTGTGCTCAGAGTAAGGTACATAGCAAAGCCAACAGAATCCAGAGCTGTATCATACTTCCTAGAGAATTAACAGAACAGGGAGGCCCAGCATGGTGGCATATACCTCTAGTCCCAGCTACCTGGAGGCTGAGGCTGGAGCATTACCACAAGTTCAACCTCAGTCTGGGCTACATAGTGAATTTCAGGCCGGCCAGAGCAACAGAGTAAGACTGCCTCAGAAAGAAAGAAGCCAGCAAAGCCAATGCTGGGTGTGGTGCTGCACGTTGGCAGTCCTAGCTAATTGGGAGGCTAAGGTAGGAAGATTGCTTGAGCGTATGAGTTAGGAGATTAGCCTGGGCAACACAGCAAAACCCTTAAAAGTTCATCAGCAAAGTATGAGCACGGAAGAAATGATACAGTAAAAAATCACTTAACCCAAAGAAAGAGGTGAAAAGGGGAGGCTGATGTGTGGCACTGTTCCTGGGGAGACAGGAACACACACTCACCCCAGACAGGAAACAGTGACAATTCAAAGTAAGGACACCACCAAAGTCCAGTTTGGTGAACCAACGAGTTTATTGGGGTTACTTACAGGAGTGTGGTTGAAGGGTTACTTACAGAATACTTACAGAAGCAGAAATACTCAAAGACAGCTGCACCATCAAAAGCCCGCCCCAGCTTGGGCAACAACTCAAAGCCTGGAAGCCTGGAGCACAATGTACAACTTACAGGCAGCTCGGTAGGGCAGAGAGCGTCTCTTCCTGGTTGCTCAGCTTGTCTGTCCTAACTTCCACAAGAACTTGGGAGAGGGGCTGAGAATCTAGTCAGTTTCAGTTGTTTTCTCCCTGAGTTGAAGATGCTTTCTCCAAGGATGCAATCCTTTTTGAAAGTCCCGTGTGGTAGTAGGCCTTCTTTAGTCCCAGCACCCTGGGAGACAGAGGCATGTGAGTTCCAGGCCAGCCTGGTCTACATAGCCAGTTCCGTGTCATCTGGGGCTACAGAGAGAGACCCTGTCTCAAAAAGACCAAAAAAAAAAAAGCGTCCTGTATCTTAATGAGCTTCCCTCCAAGATGGAAGGTTTTATTACCAGGAAATTACTAGACAGTTGCTCTCTGGGAGAGAACAGAAGGAACCATGACCCCATCTCAGGCCCAGCATCAAATAAGTCCCAGCTCCAGGTGGGGTCCTGAACTCACCAGCGTCACCACAGCATGCCCTGCCCACCCCACCCCCGGGTGCTCCTCCAGAGATGTGTTGCTGAAGTTCTTCCAGTGGAGCAGTGGGCCTGGTCCCCTGCCTGTGTAGCAGTGAGGATGTGAGCGTCCAGAACAAGCGAATGAGCCACAGGAGGTCCAGTTGATACCCCAGACCTGAGTGTGAAGTGCCCATGTTGGCAGGAAGAGCAGAGGGAAACTGAGAACTGGAAAGCACTGGCTGTCTCCCAAAACTAGACGTGCGATTCACTAGGCTCTAATAATGAAATCGATCTACCAGGAATACACAAGAATCTTAGGGCTGGAGGGATGGCTCAGTGGTCAAGAGCACTTGTAGTTCTTCCAAAAGACCTGAGCTCATTTCCTGAGCAACCACTTCGTGAAGCTCACAACACCACTGCCTTCACAACCCCAGCTCCTGGGGGAATCCTATGCCTCTGGCCTCTTTGAGCACCTGCACTCAAGTGCGCATACCCACAGACATATAAATATAATTAAAAATTAAAATTAAATGTTTAAAAAGGATTTTAAACTCCTGTGCACCTGATAACATGACCTCAAAAATCATCAAAGCAAAAAAGAACCACAACGACATGGACACATGTGCAGTGCTGTGGGAGAGCTTCGTCCGCTGCCCTCCGTAATAGACAAGCAGAAACATTAACAAGGGTGTAGGCATGAACGGCAATTAAATTCAACTCTAAACAACACAAATGTGTAGAGCGCACAGAAACCATGGCTGTAGTTTGTACCACCTGTCAGGTGTACACAGAAACCATTTTTTACCTGTTGACTAAGGCAGAATTGACAATAGCAAACTGCACATTTAAGATGTACATGTTGATAGGTTTTGGTGTGTGATGTGCCTGTGAAACGGCCCCACACTGAAGGTGGAGAACATGTCTGTTGCCTGAAGAACCTCCTTAGGCCCCTGGGTGCTCTGTCCTTCCTGCCCCCGTGGATTCTTTCCAGTTTTCTAAGAGCCACACAACGTGCATTCCCTTTTGGGGGCTTCCTTGACTCAGAAAAATTATCCGATGACCCATCTGTGTCATGACTTTGGTCAGAAGTTATTCCCTTCTGTTGTTGTATTGGGACCCATTAATTCACCTAATTCACCTATCCAGGACCGTGTGTGTTGTTCCCAGCTCTTGGGTCTAATGAACAAAGAAATCCCGTGAACATTTCTAAAAACTGACTATATGCAGCCAGAAACGGCAGCATATACCTTTAGTCCCAGCACTCAGGAGGTAGAGGCAGGCAGCTCTATGTGAGATAGAGGCCAGCCTGGTCTACACAGCAAGTGCCAGGACAGCTGGGGCTACAGGGAGACCGTCTCCAAAATAGCAAAAAAAAAAAAAAAAAAAAAAAAAAAAAAAAAATTGCTCAGAGAAAATTACCATTTGGTTGGAATTAATGGAATCGAGAAATGATTTTCTAAACAGCTCATGGTCACATAAACTCATGTGACCATGAGCTGTTTAGATAAT